GGAGAGCATACATGTGCCTCACCAGGTTTCTGGGAAGGTCCTAGACCTAGACCTATTACGTGCATTTTCTGGATATGGAGTCCAAGTGTTGTTTTGCAGGAAGGTGATTGCATAGTCCATTGACATGAATGCCGGCCAAACATTTTGAGAAGCTCACCTTTTGTGCAACGCGGTGTGAGCCACTGACCATCACTTCTTGAATGACATCCAACAATTGTGAGTTGAACAAGAAAACATGAGCAAGATTTGCCATGACGTTTGTGCAATGAGAGCTGCTTTCTGGGCCACCCATCTTACCGTAGGCCCTAGGACTGGTAACATGACGGTTGAAGCATGTCGACCTTGCTGTGAAGTGACGTGTTGGCGTGCTTAGCGAGACACCTTGCATAATTACAAACCTTACAGCAGAGCTTTGGCTCATGTGCTGCAACCACCGGATTCAGCAGGTGGGGCCAGCGCTGAGGTGCAGCTGCCGGGTGGGTGGCAGTTAATGGACTAGCATTCTCTGCCTTTGTTTTTTTTCTCTCTCGCTCTCTCTTTATACAAATATATATATATATATAACTAATGTACTCTCTTTGTAAAGACCCCGTCCGAAAGCAAAAAGTATGGATGTTCTCTACCAAGCGCGCAGCAACTCCCTTCATTTATGCTTTGACCTCGGACTAGCAGAAATCAGAGAGCACATTACGTCAGTGCAGTGAGGGTTGCGCTCGTACTGTTGTATCCATATAAAAAGCAATCTCTGAGCCAACGGCTTCAGGATGCTTTGGCGCGAGGGTTCAGTGGTGGATTGGAGGCGGAAAAGCTTGTTTTTACACTTGGGAGGCTTTGTCGTTTTGATTAGTATGTATATAATTACATGCAGAGTAACCTCGCTCAGTCGCTTGTAGACCAGAGAATATCATGTGATTGTAGAATCTACAGAGGAATGGCAAGTCTTGCTCAATAGTTATTAATGCCAGTCTGCTTGAAAGGCAGATATTGAAAGTATTTATTTACTTGAAAACAATATTTACTCATTGGCGATGTTAGGTGCTCATGTTTACTGTGCGTGATCGGGCTTCTTGGGGCTTTCATGGGCATAGCCCCAGCGACTACGAGTCTTTGTTGGACATCTTGGAACATCTTGGAACCACGTACACTACAGCACATGTGTCGGAAGCATACAACCCAAGCAGTCCCAACACTGAAAGAGAAGGTACTGCTGTCTTCTGTAGTGTGTCTACTGCACACACAGTATTTGGAGTCCGCGAGGATTCTCATCTTAGAAACGCCGGATGGTATGAGGTCAAAGTCTTTGGTCTGGTCAAGGCGTTCAAGTTATACTTATATATATTAATTCTAGACTCGCTTGCCTGCCCTGTGGCGCTTGTACCGATTCACATTCTCAGATGAGCAGTCAGATAACGGCTTGCAGTAGCAAGAAGCTAGTAGCTCCTGACATTACTACTAGTAGCAAGAAGCCTCGTAAGACTTGTGGTTGCGTAGCTTTGTACTCTTCACGAACCTTACCACTGACTACCGTGTCAGGATGCATTTCCTCCTCGGAATGGCGTTCAGGACGGGAAAGCCTTGGTGGTTGGCTCCTGAATTCCTGAGCATCAGACAAACTCTTTGAAAGACCACATGTAGAACAGCCGGAGCAGCTGCAAAAGCAGCCCAAACGGATAGGAGGGCCACCTGGCACACGGTACCCTTACCGCCAATCTGTACAGGGGCCAGCCCAAGCTTCATACTTTGTTTGCTACTTGGTAGATTGCCTGATTGCCCCAACAAAGTAGTCCCTCAAATGGCAATCCTTCTCTCTCTCAATATATGTTATATACGCGGCTTTCCTAATGAATTTTTGTGAGCATCAAACGCAGGCGCCTGCATCCTTTGGTGGCTTTGGAGGTGGCTTAGAGGACCGAAAGTGCCTTTTCACATCCCAGTAGCTACACTTTCTCAGCACTGCGTTAAAACTCAAAGTTGGCATAGGCAAACATGGTACGGAAGGCCGGAAGGATGAATACTAGGCAGGATAGCAGGATAGATACCTAACAGATCCTAAGGTCCTAACAGCGTCTATTTTGTGGTGCACAGTGAGAAACTGGCAAGAAGAGACTTTGACTCCCACTTCTCAATCCTTATCTTAGGTTGTTGAAAAAGAAACAATGCTTGTGGCCTGACAAGAGTCGAGTGAAAGAGGATGCTTTCCCCCCGAGACAGAGGCCTGGGAGGGTGCAGCCCAGCTTGGGAGTCAACGTTGAGACTATACTTGAAGACCATGCGCCTTGTTGTGCGTGCAGTTGTGCGACCAAGCGTGATGGGTTCAAACCTGGTTACTGTAATCGACTGTAGCTGCGTTGCCTGTTTTTTTGGCAGGCTGACACATTTTGGCTAGTTAAGTGAAGGAGGCTGCTAGGTTGTCCACCTTGAATCAAGGCTTCAAGGCGAGCTGCAGAAACCCAAAGTCTAGTTTTGTTTTCTCAAAGGAGTCTCAAGTGGAGCTGAAGATTCAACATGGACTGGTCAACAGATGTGCTTGCTTCCTGTTTTCTGAAAAACTCCATCGTGCCAGTGCCAGATTGTTTTATCAGACAATATTTTGTGAGCTCTTTCTTGAATCTGACTTTTTTTTAACCAGGAGTTGTGTGAATTTGCTTGGTCCGTATGAAGTGGTTATGATATGGCGTGCGCGTGCAGGTTGATGTGTTTGTTTGGTTCTTCACGTTTGCTCAGGTGCTTGACAATGTTGCCCAATTCTTCCCTGCGTGCACAAGCTTGGACAGGTTAGTTGCGTTCTGCTAGTGAAATAATCAACCTTGCGGAATCTTATAGCACGGACGCAACCCTTGAAAGAGTCGCCAAACGACGTCTGAAATTATGTGCGCCTTGTGTTAGCCTCCGCACGGGTGACTTGTCACAAGTCGGGCGACTTCTGTCTAAAGCAGCGTGCGCACGAGGCTTGGTAACTGCGCAATCTTTGCACAACCCTGGGCGACTTGCCCCTGATGCTTATTTGTATCTCCATTAGGATTTCCTCTAGGAAATGATTGGGTAGGGTTAACCCTGTTACTGCAGAAGGGCTATTTTTTGAGAATCATTTTCTGATATATCTGGATGATTCTGGATGGATGAGTATGCATTTTTTAATACTGGATGGTGTTGATGTTGTGTGTTGCAGAGATCGGAGGCAAAACAAACCATTTTCTAGAGCCAATTTTGAAGGAGACCTTGGGCATATCATTTTCTAAGGGCAGTGAAAAGTCATGGATGCATTTTATAGAGCCTGCTTCTTTTGGCCTTGGACTCAAGCCATTTTTATGAACTGGTCCTTCACAACCTTAAGTGCAGCATTGACAAAGATGAATGAAGAGCTCGCTAGAAAATGCAAACCATTGCAAATCCAACCTTTGGCCCTGTCTTCAAATTGCAGCAAGCGTTGTGTAGAACCATGTTCTGGAAGCCAGCTGCTGACACTCTACTCTTGTGATATGTTTTTATTATTTGTTGCATCTGCTTGCATTTTATAGAGTGTGTTGTCCTTGAACCCGCTTTCATTTTCTTGCCTTTTCTTGAGTCAGAAAGTTTTATAGTTATTAAATCGCCCGCACAACCTCTCATCCTAATAGCAATTCATTTACAATTATAGAGGCAGTTCTCCTTTTTGTCCTCCTTTCATGGCTGTGTAGTCTCAGAATCTTGATGCGCCCGTAGGCACGACCTTGTTGAGATTCATATCTACCTTTGTCTACTGCGGAAGCCATGTTGCTCCTTTCTCCAAGTGCTACAGGTCCAATTCTGACGCGAGGCTGCGGTGAGTTGATTCAAAGCCGCTACCTCTGGAATCGTGCAACAAGAAGACTGGGCCATGGACGAGATTTTCCTAGATCAAGACATTCTCACTTCCGTACTTCACCATAGTGACTCGACGTTACATTGCCCAAAGACTGGCCCAAAAACGACGGTGCTACCATGCGCTACCTTTGCCAAAGCAAAGCAAACTCCCTGAAGCGTTCGACAGCTTCGAGACTCTCGGGCAATTCGGCTTGGGTGATGACACTGAACCAAGCTTGGCTTGGTCCCAAATAACAACCAGCTTGAGTGCTTTCGCCCCAACCCAAGAGTTCCAATTCGACACAAATTGGTGAGGAGGTACATGTCACACTGAGATGATTAGTATCAACAGAACAGGTTCTTGAGCCATTCTTCCTTTCCTTACCCGAATACGATTCTTTCAGACCTGAGCTTGCTTGCTGCCGACATGGCTGCACCGGGTCATTTTGATCGCAAGCTGTACATAGATCAGACAAGAGCCCAGCAAGAAGGGCAACGGTTTTTTTGAGAAGGTTTCCGTCGTGAGTGTGCAGCAGGCAACGAGGCCAAGCAATTAGAGCGAATCCAAACACAGGCAGTCAGTCCTTTGATGTTGAAACCTCTTGGACGCACCAGTTTCCTGCTTCTACTAAAAGAATCTAAAAGACTTGCGCATGCGTCCAAGAAAGCAGAGCTAACCTGCACTACATAGACAACATGTTTCAGTCTGAGTTTCAGTCTGATGTGCCAATGTCGCTGCCAGCGACCGAGAGGGCCGAGATGTGAGGAGAACTGACGCGGATGGACGAAACCTTTCTGACTTTATTTTTAAGGGGAGGTAGGCCACCGTAAAGGCAGGTAGCTAGGTAGCTAGTAGAAGTAGAATGGTAGCTAGTAGCTTGAGCGCTCACACTATTCATTTGGTTCCTAGATGTTTAGGGAAACTTAAGTTCTTTCTGTCTTTCTTTCCGGGAGGTGGGTTTCCTCACTTTGATTGATTGTTGATCGATCGATGAATCCAATTTTTCTTAACTCCACCATGTAGTGGACAACAAATGCACAAATGCCACATGAGACTGAGAGTTCCACAGCGATGCGGTGATACTTCAAGTGCAATATCACAGAATGTCACACTCCAAAACTCAAAACCACGGAGCTTCACTGTGTCACATCTCGCAGTGGCCGGACCTCCGAGGACGATGCTGAAGTTTGCTCAACTTGGCCCAGCCGAGGCGACCTCACTCGGATGGATGGGACCTCCCAGGGTCACGACATGTCATGCTGGAGGAAGCTGGTCTCAATCTGTATTTACACCCTTCTAGAAAACAAGCACAGAAACTTGGGTCAAGAAGAAATCAGCATGTGCCTCTATGGTTGCAAGATTTTGCCTTGCTGTTTGCGGATGCTACCCATGTTTGCCAGGAAGAGCAATTGAGGAAGAGTGGTATCGACCGCGCCAAACTTCGAATAGAATATGAGGTGGGACTGGCGGATGAGTTGATCCCAGCCAGTCGTTGAGGGGGTTAACATGGGTTAACTATGACTTTCCAGAGACATATAAAACTTCAACTTCTCTGGCATCGCAGGACCTTCCTGTAGGTTATATAGTCGAAGGGTTGACTCTGAAACCGGCACTGCCGCCTGTGGATACCTGTGGTCCCTTGATTTCCAGCTGTTGAAGGATGAAGATTCTATGTGATGCAGTTGCTGCAATGAGGGTGCAATGCTGCAGTTGCTGCACTTCTGACATTTGATAAGCATTGTAATCAGTTTGTCATACTTTGTCGTCAACTTACATGCGTGATATATGATATATGTAACTTGCATACATGAAGGCACATCCAAAGATCAAGGAACCCAATTAATAGCGTGACCTATCCTGCGTCCAGTAGCTACTCAAGCTACACCTCTTCTACTAGCGGCCTACCCCCCAAAAGAGGCTTTTCCGCCTTTGAAATTCCTCAGGCGGCGCTGTCTTTGCTGCAGCATCGCGCCTCAGAGGCGGCTGAGCTCCTACGACGCTTGGTCTTCGTGTCGGACGACCAAGGGGTGCCCTTGGCCTTGACCGCGGACCAGCGTGCCTTGGAGTCCTTGAGAGAGCTGCATGTTCTACTACAGCAAAGTCCCACTCCCACTCGTTTCAGGAGCGATGACTTGTGCGTTGTCAAATGCCTTTATTTCTAAGATCTCTCTCTCTCTCTCTATCCATGTATATATATATATGCAGTATAATATATATATTCTCAACCAGCTACCACTTGTCCCTTGGCAAAGCCAGCAAAAGGGATCAAAAGAGCAAAGCTCTGGGAACCCCTCAAATCCACTTGTTGAGCTGACCTTGGATCTCCCAAGAGCGACACCAAGGTGACCGGGTTTGGCTGCAGCGCTTCCACGTGTTGTGCTTGCAAAACCTGGGTGCTGCTCAGCAAGTGCTGGTTGGAAAGGAGCAGCAGGCAGACCATGGATGTGGTTCTGCAAGTTTAAAATCGCTATTGGGTTGGAGGCCATCGCTATTAGGTTGGTCTAAATCAACAGTAAGTAAGTAAGTAAATAAGTAAGTAAACAAGTAGGTAAATAAGTAAGTAAGTAAGTAAGTAAATAAGTAACTAAGTAAGTAAGTATGTAAGAAAGTACATCAGAAGCACTGCGAGCATCTCAAGTCGTCTCCTTGGCATTTGGGTTGACATTGCGTGACCAGATTCATGTCGCATCAGACAGGCCCTGGCCAGTTTGAAGGCCGCAGTGAAGTTGGAGAAGGACGGATCTCAAATCATATTTTTGTATCCCTTTCTATTGTTGGGACTACATATTATATTCATACTATTTTATGTTATACTCACCATCATTATACATGCATAAAGCAGAACCTTTGGTCAGTGGCTGAGAGAGCTGGAATCGTTCTTCATTCCACAGACAGGATAGTCGCCAAGGACGCCCCACTTATCCATATGAGGTATTTGATTTGTCTCCATATTTTCTATTGTGGTCAGTTTTGGTGTTCCACACTTTGTGTCTCAGCAAGCAACTGGGGCACAATGGGCTTTGAGAACAGAATTGAAATGGCCGTTTCTTCAAACGGTGAACCTGCGCCAAAAGCTTGACTCATTGTCCTTTGTTGCGATCTTGACCCATTTCCTCCTGATGCAACTCCGAGTGAAGAAGTGTACGTTCATGCGAACGACGACCTCTGAGAGGAGTCTTCAACCGTCCCCAGGGCATCTTTGTGGCGACAGCTCGCTGATGCAGCGGCCACTGCTGGTGATTGGCAGACGGCCACAGAGGCGGAATGATCAGCTGGACAGTTGCACTGTGAACTCCATAAGTCCAACTGACCTATTCTTTCTTTTTTTACCCGTGGCCCTGCCTCCTTACTTACTGTAATTAAGTAGGGACCTATATACTTAATTATATGAGCAAGGGAGTAAGCTCAGGGCGACTAATTGGCTTCTAGTAACTGGACGCAGGATAGCTCACGCACTAATGATTTGGTTCCTAGTTGGACTGAACTCCATGAAGGGTTATATGTTGGCTGATGCCATCTAGGTTGCTCCCGGCCTTCGCTAAGCGGCTGAGCGTCATCTATCTTTGTCAAAGAAACAAGGCTTTGTGAAAGGCATTGTTGCCGCTAAAACTTCCATCGTACGGATTCTATCATCCAAAAAGACTGGGTCGTTCTTCCAGACTACTTGTTGGCCAAGCGCAAAACAAGGCCTTGCAGCAGTGCCTTGGTGTTTGGCACACTGAGCGGCCGAATGGCGGGCTGCCGGAGGCCGGGCTCTTGCGGGCAATGGTGACCTGCGCAGTGCGGCTGGGGGATTTGCCAAGGCCGGGGAAAGTGTTGGGAGGGGGAACAGCTGGAGTTACTGCTGGTGCAGTTAAAGCAGAGAGGACTGTTGTGAGTGAGCGGTGGAACAGGAATAATTCTCGCTGACATTGGAGCTGAAGAAATGCTTTGCATCACTGAAGTCCTCCTATTTCAAAACAAACGCCACAGAGGACACAACCAGACAACAGCATGTAAGATGCAAGCGTAGCAAAGCAAGATGCGCAACATTGGAGAACAAACAGAAAAGATACTGTAATCATTTCCCTGCTAGTCCATAATCGTTTGGCAAAACATAGCTTTCAAATGCTTTCAATACACAGTACTTTGAAAGCTTTTTTGCATGTATTGGATGGACGGAGACTGAAGAAGTGGCCGCCAGCATTTGCATTGTGAAGCCCGATCAGAAGAAGCCACGAAAACTGGTACAACGACCTCTTCAGTGAAATTTGAGCTTGTTGAGACAGATTGGCTACACTGACGTGAGAGACAACGGAATCAGTCGCAATCTTTTGCGTCAGCTTCGGAGTCCTTTGCGCTGAGCCTGCGGGCGTGCCTATGGTGTATTTCAAGACTTCGAGATAATGCACCCAACGCTCCAGCTCATTGGTTGAGGAGGATGGACATATGTATTCTTGCAGAGGTTTGGAGTATAGCATGTTAGCGTGACAAATGTCATGTCAGGACACTAGCTTCTGCAGCTGCAATAGATTTGCAGCAATCAGTTTGCTGTGCAGTCCAGATCCATAAGCTGGATTTTCCCTGTACGCACCGCAACAGGTTTTCACTCTCCGCAGCCCTGCAACATACCCAGTACTGTGGACTCTGTGGACCTCAGATTTATAATCCTTGCCCAGAAGGAACGCACACAGATGCCTCCCCAAGATTGATTTGTTGTTTGGGATCAGGGGAGGCATAATTCATGGTTTCTTTTGGCGCCCGGGAATCTGTTCAAGAGATTTAGTATATATGATGGGAATGAAGGAAGGGAGTTATTCGTTTCCCTCTGTGAGACCTTTTGAACAAACGAGGTCACAGCAAGCACTGTCACAGCTGGCGGAGCAAGACGCCTTGGATGAAGGCGAGAAGTGGCTTCAGCAAAAATTGTAGCTTGGTGCAGCCCGAGCACTTTTCGATCATTAACCAAAGTGTGGGCTAGCTATAGGCAATTCCAGTAGTTCTTGGAATTGGGGGGCTCAGTGCAGTATTGCAGTTGGTCGAACTGGGAGGGATTTGCTGTGCGCTGAAGCTTTTGTGCAGTCTCTTGGCCTGAGTGCTCAACCGTGCTCAACCTACTTGAAAAGTCCGCTTGCTTTGTGGTCCCATGCCTGGCCAGCGGACCCACGGCCAAATGCAATGCCTCGAATATACAACTGGATGCTACACTAGTGATCCTCTGGCCGCCACAGTGGTGCAATGTGTTGCCAAGGAAGCGCCGATTTGCGACCACCTTCTATCACTTAGAACATCCGACCGGAACCACTTCAGAGGCCGGGGCGAGCGGACAGCATGAACTTTCTGGACAATCAAGACCTCATTCTTGGTAGGTGTCCTTGCCAAGGATGTATTTGCGTTGCCGGTGCAGGAGCAGGTCAGTTAATTGTTGCAATTGTCATTAGTTGTCCTTTCATTCTGTTTTCTGAAGTCTATATGTAGACTTAGGTGCTTTAGAGCTTGAAACCATCCCAAAGCCCCCAGAAATCTCCTTTTTGAATATTTTTGACAGGTGGACCTCCTCAACGAGCACTACTCACGAGCCAAGCGCCGCCGGGCTGAGCGCATGTCCACCAGCAGGGAGCTTCTCCAGAAATTTTGCCCTCCGCAGGCACGCCCGTGATGCACTCTTGTGGCCATCGCTATTAGCAACAAGGTTCGCTACTAGGGGCTCCTGGCCTTACTACTAGGAGCAAAGACGCTATTAGGTTGGAGGCCATCATAGTTCCTTCGTAAAGAAGTTCTGCCATGGCAACGAAACTGGTGTTGAAGTCGACCAAGCGGATCTGGTCAGGCGCACTGCCTGATGCGCTTAAGCATGCTGGAGTTCCTTCAAACGCTTCGCGCACTAGCTGGGCAGCTCAACTCGGGTTGACGAAGCGAACCCAGCCAGTCTCTGCAGCCAAATAACATCAGGGACATAAATGTTATATAAGTTATATCTTATCTTATCATAGTTTATACGGGATCAAGCAGATCGAGGAATTTGTAGCTTGGGATTCCGGCGCAGCGCCTCGGGCGCTGGTCCTTTCATAGGGAAAACTCCAAATGGCAAGCACAAGCGAGTTGCGTCCGGTTTGATAGGATCCGTAGACTTCGACAAACTTCACTGTTCAGGTATACGCATTATATCCAACCCCACAGGCGTGCGCGGGAAGATATAAAATTATACTGGGGCCACCTTGAGTGCTCAGGTTGCACAAGCTGTTCCGCCACATCAACAAGTGTATTTTGATTTCAGCGAGTGTGCTGGGCGTCAGGACAGGCCTGGGCAGAAAGAGGTCAAAACGATTACGACATGTATGTTCAATGGATGAAGGAGTAGGATGATTGAATGAATAGAATACAAGACCATACAAGACCTTTGTCTTTGTGTGTCTTTGCTTGCCAACTATATAGCGACTGAGAAAGGTACTTTGGGTTCGCGCAGGTTGATGGAGCACATGAATGGTAATGCTGCACTACCGGAACCTTAAAATCTGCGGACCACTCATCCCTTAGCAAAATCCTGCCACGCATGTTACACTTTACAAGTGGGCTTCCCGTCCAGTCAGATTGCTCGAAGCTTCATTTATCAGCCGTGCAGGACAGCCAGAAGGACTGGTGCTGCCTGGTGCATCTGGTAGGGACTTGATACCATCTCCAGATTAAGCCTGCAGGGAATATGCAAAAAGACTAGAAGACTTGAGACGGGAAGCGGATCACATCGGACCGCCCAAATCTCCCGAAGTGGGGCTTCTGACATATCCGGTGATGTCGATGTATGTTTTTGGTGGAGAGACCATCATCCAATATCGTCAAATCGTGTTCAATTGAGCTTATATAATTGCAAGCACTCAGGCCAAGGCAGGCCGGTGGGATGAGAATGTGTACCCTTGAAAGCCGGCTGAGCACCATACCCAAGCAGCCCCCACTCAAGTAACGGCAAAAAGGTGAAGCACAGAAGCCCGATAGCATTGCTCTAACACTGCCAGCTTCGATGTCCTGGTCAAGACATTGTGAGGAGGCTGCAACGGAGGAGCACACACCGTCTGACCTCTTGCTGGAGGGCCTTCGAGCTATGTGGATGACCCAGAAGTCTTAGGAAGATTTGGCAAGTTGGGATAGACTTCAGAGAAACTGACATGTCAGAATCAGATCTACATTATCAACAGATAATATAGATTGGCGCTGACATGGCCAGCAACTCTGGACCTTCCCCCCAGCACAAGGACGATACACTATGATGTGTGGTCTTGGTTTACTGACTTTCCGGCAACAAACATATCCGGACATTTAATGAATTGCAAAAGACAGGATTGCTACGTACACTATCTCAGATCTAAAGTGTTTAGACTTGTTGCGGGGTTTGCGTTGAACCGTGATTGTCGGCGTTCACTACGACTACAATTATTGATCCAAAGACCTCCTTGCCACATCTTGAAACCATCTCAATGGTCGAGTTTTGTCTGGAATGTCCCACATGTTTCTTACCGAGCTTTCTATTGGAGTCCCTGACACCTAAGTTTGACCCGTTTCTCACGTGCTTCGTCCAGGTTGGTGAAGCCCTGGCCACCGAGTGGTTCGGCCTCCCGCTGGTTGCAGCTCGGCGCCTTCAGTGGATATAAATGTGTCTTAGTATGTTTCTTGTTATTTGTTTATGGTTGTTGTCATTTATCGTCAACCTCATGTCTTGTCAATATTGTGCTATTGTTGTTCCTGTCTGTTGGAACACACTGTTGGTGTTGTAAGTATTACGATGTCAAGGCTTTCCTGCTTGTCAAGTAGAATGTAAGAATAGGTTTCTGCCACTGCATGTTTTTGCTTCTACAAAACTTATATAATGGGATTTGTGCCATCATCGTTCTGAGCTCTCGAGATATTGGTAGTGCATTCAATGTTCTAGTTCTCGTACTGTATATTCGACTTGTTTACCCCCTATAAATCTCAGCTACACTGGGAGGGATTGAGAAAACATTTCGCCGTGCACCGAAACCATCCGCAAAACTTCAGTTCTGCGACCTACAGCCCCGTATTCCCTTTCGTGCTCCCCCTCTTGGTCCAGGGCCGGCAGACAATATATATAAATAAAGCTATAAGTTACCTCTCGAAGTAAGTTCACCTCGCGCAATACTCACACAATACAAATTCATCAACATCACAGCATCAGTGCCAACAATCAAACAACGCTTTGTATAAAGCATGAATGTGCTTCTTCATTGGGATGAAATGTGCAGTTGGACATCGTGGTACTCCACCAATTCTACATTGTTAGATGGGTGAACGCTAAGATTCACAGTCAACTCATTGCTTTTGCAATGAGCCCCATTGATAGCGATATGTAAAACTAGAGGACATATCCAACGATTTGTTCAGGGCAATGGCATTCTTAAAAACACAAAACCTCATCACCAACACTTCTGTGATCTTCTGTGTGAGACATGAAACAGTTTTTTAGATCCTGCGGTTAGCCAGAGCAACATCCTTCAGGCTTCAACTGTTGGCCTCCGCACCGGAGTCCACCGTGACAGAGGACAGGACGATGACTCAGACGGATCGTCTCAAGTTGAATGAAATCACCAACGTTTGTTCCAGTGTTCTCAGTTCATCTCAGCTCCTAAGTTTCGTATTTTGTGCTTTCTACGAGTTCAATGTCATTTGTTGCGTGCGGCGCACCTTCAACAAGGCTACATGGACAGTTGCTAGTGACCAGCCGGCCCGCTCTATTTTTCAGGAGACAGACAGCATCTCCAGATTTCTAGGGCTCAGTGAGGCTGGGCAAAAGCAAATCATCCACATGCAAGCATTGAGATTGGGTGATCCACACAGCAGGGTTGCTGATTGAGATCGTGGTGCGGAAATCCTGAAGGGAAAAATCACATACTGTATATATCGAAGGTTTTTTTTCGACACCGTGACAGTCGAATGTACTGGCTGGAAAGATAGGGACTCCCCCCAGCAATACGGTTCCAGTCACAAGAGAGCCATCCCATGAGCACTGGCCAGCAACCACCGTAGACTGTCAACCATGCCTACCATGACATTGACATGTCGAACTGAGGGTTTTCCCATGATACTTTGGACTGGAAACTGGTCCCACTGGTCCAGTCGCAGGCATCGAAGTGGAAGAGCAAGTGCCAAACTTTCCGCACTTGGTCACTTCGGAGCAAAAATACGGGTCTAAAATGGTCGAAAAGAATCAGCCTGCTTTCATGTATCTTGGATTCTCGGTGCCTTAACCATGGCGATATGCTGGACACCTGGACACCCTAGAGTATCGTTGTGTTGTTAGTTCGTGTTCGTCCGCCATCAAAGGAATTGATTCCTGTCCTTCAACCAGCCGTTGTTTTAGCATGGGTTGAACCCAAGGTTTGAGGGTTTAAAGGTGGTTGCAAAACACCGGTCACCATTGATTTGGCGTCGCCTCAGGGATAAGCACAAGATTGTTGATGCCATGTCTCTTCTTCCGTTGTTTCCATTGTTCTGTTTGCTTTTGTTTTTCTTGTCCACATTAGTTTCTTGTTTTACAGAGAGCCACGCACCATTTGGTCCAACAATGTCCAACGTTGGCAAAGCGGGAGTTAAAGCAGTAACAGCCAGAACCTTCTCAGGGATAAGGGATAAGGAAAACTATACGCCGTATTGGCCGAAGGATACAAACCCGCTGCTTGTGTTCACCTTGAGGTTGTTCGATGTGATCCGCTTTACAGCAGCGCACCGGGAAGATATTTTGCGGACCTCTATGGACCTTTGTAAACTTACCTCTCTCCAGGCAGGGAAGCACTGACTCTGAGAAAGTGTCAAGTGCAATGTTGGTGCAAATGCTACATGTTTACATAGCTATTACTCTGGACATTGATAGATTGAACCGGCTCACTGCCATCTCCTGTAGCCTCCTGTAGTACACGTGCAAGCTGACAGGAAATAGTGACGTTGGTCGGCTTGGCTCAAGATTTCCTCCTTGTCACGATATGCTACTGCTAAAGGTTTTCTTCGTGAAAATCCAATTCGGGGTCAGTTTGCATCAATTTGTCAGTTGTGGAGTGGAAGAAACAGCCAGAACAGCCTGCCAAGAGGTGGCGTCTCTCAAAATAAGGGCTGACGGGAACTTCCAGGGACGCGTCTCATGTCGGTGGACGGTCTTCAGTCTTCGGTCGGTCAGGTGGAGCTTCTTCACACGGTGGTCTTCTTCTCACAGCCAGTGGTGCGATGCGAGAACTATGACACCGGTGGGGGACACGGAGATGACAAAGATGTCCTATTTGTGATAGAACTCTGTGGTGGGGTAGGAACAAGGACGCTACTAGGAGCAAAGGGCATCGCTACTAGGAGCAAGAACGCTACTAGGGGCTCCTGGCCTTACTACTAGTAGCAAGAAGCTGTCGTGATTTTCAGACAACACCTGAAAAAGCGAGAGGACCCAATCAACAGCGATAATCTTATTCAAGCATGTCCTCAGCTATTGGTCGAAGACATTGGTTAAACGGTTGAACTCTATATAGACTTGTGAGAAGAGCTGCATTTTTGTGTTCGGACACCTTTAAAGTAAAGATGTGGTTATTGTTGGGTTTGGAGATGGTATGGCGGCCTATTTCATTGCCGAACGCTCTTACGTTGCTTCAAGAACCCTGCTGGGGGAATCCACTTCTGAATCCCTTACCGCTAAAATTTAAAAGGAACAGCGGTAGTATGTCCAAAGACATGGCAGTTTTAGTTTCCATGAGCAAATGCATAACAGTATAATCAACAATATGTTATATAGCATATTATACTAGCTCAATACTAGCTCATTATGCAGCTCTGGAACAAATCACTGTGATGAGAAACGACCATTCTCAAGTTTTGGGGATCATTGCATGAAGACCCTTGGACGTGACCTGGCCCACTCGCAAGCATCGCTCCAGCACTTTTTAGGACGTGAGACTCAGAAACCAAGGGTTTACACCGGCATTTGATCCAAAAGGTGGCAGCGTGCGATCGCTGAGAACCGTTGGCGTTGGGAGCATGACTCAAGAAAGAAACGTTGAGCAAATGAAAAACAAGTCTTACAATGACTACTGAGCTTGCATGCCAATCGAATTGCACTGGATAGGTTTGCGCAGCTTTTGGGCCTCCTGGCACTGGGAATTGCAGAGGGTGGTGACGGCAGAGAGGGGACTGTGACCTTTTGCTGGGTGCCTTTCTTTACACTCGCATATCCGCTCATTCTTAGATAGTGCCCATTTGCGTTTTCTTCCATGGACTCCGCATCGATGGATGTTCATGCTCTAAAGGCCTTCAAGTCCAGTGTCCCGGTGCCAAGGCGCATCGATCCTTCCTGACCTGGGTCGTGCGGCCTTTGCGGGAAGGCGAATCTTCAGATCTAAAGCAACCATTTGGCATTAATGCAGCACTGGAGGCAAGGACGCTACTAGGGGCTCCTGGCCTTACTACTAGGAGCAAGAAGCTACTAGGAGCAAAGGGCATCGCTACTAGGAGCAAGGACGCAGCCCACTGAGGCCTCACAGCTCTTACCACAAACACCCGATCTCCATGAGGCGAAGATGCAGAGCCGCGACAACTCCTGAGGGACTTCGTCCAAGAGCACGGACTGGCTTTAGCGGTGCCTTGGATGCTCCCCGCTTCCACCAGCATGTTTCGGAGGTTTGTTTATCACAACCAGTAGGCATGATGAATGAGCCCTATTTCACCACGCAGGTGGAAACTCCTGCGTGCATTTTGCTAAGTCACTGTGGTCTCCCTAGCCCCCAATACACCCTTCTCGTGGCTGCTAGATCATTGTGGCTGAGAATTGACCCCCTACTCATGGCCTTCGAGCGTTTCGAAAACTTGACATGTCTATCATCACTTCAGGAAGCTTGTGCAGCCATTGGCCGCCGGGCCCCTTGGCTCCTCACGGCCGGTCGGAGCCTATTGCGCGCCTGGCTGTATTGGCATCCGCTGCTTGGACCCAATAAGAACGCTGCAGCTGCATGACCCGGAGATGTGAATTGACATTGGACCATTGACATTCTGCATCTTCACCACCTAGTTTGCAAACTTGCGGGTTCTCGAGTTCATAGAAGATACATTGAGATGACAATGATTACACATGGAGATACGACGTTGCTACCTCCCACTGCCTCCCACCATTTGGCTCGCCCTTTGAGGCAGTTTGGGCTTTCGTCTTCGGAGGATGTGGGGCATCTACGCAACTGGCTGGAGGTGTGGTCGCAACCTGTGAGGCTTCCTGATTGTTTTTCATCCAGCCATGTTCCTCGACTTTCGCAGCTTCAATCCCTCTTGAGCACTTTGCACCAACACTTGTTTGAATTTGTAGGAAGGCCTTGGCTTTGAAAGTGCCACAGTGCTTGGGCGCTTGAAGGAAGAGAATGAGGCGTGAAGATTTGTGAAATGGGCATGTGATTGCAGGACATTTAGAGCTTTGCAGATACCATAGTTACCATAGTTATGTAACAGTAGAGATATGAGCATCCGACAAAGCATCTGTACATGTACCTTAAAGCGATAGATAGGGGCCAACCCTTAAAAAGTAGCGTGTGCATATATTATATATATACTGTATATATACACACACACCTTTCTTGATTCATTGACAGTGGCTTATTGCCTGCATTCCAAAACACTGGAAACCAATAGGGGCTAACCTAAAATACTTTTGGCCTTGGGGAGACTAAGAAGTTTTGTCCGTCGTTCATATAATATACAGTATATAGATAACGTGTTTTTGTTATACGATTGCACAATTTCCTCTCTGTCTATATATATAAGGGGTTCATAAGCCACCGGCTTTGATGAATGCACGAGAAGACAATAGTGTGGACAGCTGTAGTTGACGTATCAAGTAAGCATGGGTGTTCAGTAATGCGAGCTATGTTTTCATCAGCCACTAGCAGAATGTACACTACAATACCTATACTTATACTACCTTAACTTTCAAGCTCAAAAATTCCAAACACATCAGCAGTCACCACTTAGGGAAAGAACAAGAAAATGAGAAGATTAAGGCGTAAAAGTACCGCCAACAACAGCAGCAGCAGCAGCAAGGAGGCAGTGAAGACGACCGGTGCACTCAAATTTTGGTGTGTATTCTTTCTGGATTGTTTGCAAGTTATCGTGGTCAGGACTGCTGCAACATGGTAGATTCCCTGCAAGTTACAGTACTAATACGGTGTGCAGGTGGCATTCATGGACATAGTTTCCCCAAGTTTACTAGCTGAGACTAGACGCCAATAGTCAGGTGATGCAACCCACGTGTGATCAGTGATCAACAGCGATTCACAAGAGAAGGGCTGAGTTCTTCACTGACCCTCAGCACAGGTTCGCTTGGCTGAAGCAGTCCACAAGAGAGATTCGAAGGCGGAGGTGCTGGGGATGCTTCACACGGGTGCGCAGCTGTTGGAGTATGCTGGGAGCTTAGTTGCTCATTATGATTGGCATTGACTCTGATAGCCCAAGTTTGGGCATATCTGGGCTTGTGATTTTGTTGCAGGACAATCTTGACGGCTAAGAACTGATCTCACCAAATGTACCCATTGGGCCTTGGAAGTATCGCCGAAATCTTCAGATCAAAGAACCGGGATTCGTATGCCTGTGACTCACAAGGAGGCACCTGCAGGCCATTTGGTTGGCCCTGTGGACTGGCTGCTTAGCTCGAGGTTTATTTGGATTGCACACAGGACCCAATCAAAACGTATGGATTACATCTTATGAGCTTTTGGCACCTCCTAGGCCTTCCTTGCAGCGGCTAGCAGGGCCACTCCGCAGGATCCACCAACCGAGGAGGCTGGAAGGATTCGCTGGACGGTCCTTTCACCGCCTCATGCGATATATATATATATAACTATTATATATATATAAGTATATATATTATACAATATATATACATGATATAGATTGCTTTTCTTGTTCGAAAGGCCCCTGGACATTGAGCTCCCTTCCACTTGGCTGTGGGACGCAGCTCAAACATGCTCATTTGATCATATTTGCATCAATTGTATTCGCTGATGTTGACGTGCAAGAAGGGGCACTTGAAAAGGGCTGCGAGTTGAAGGTTCCGAGTGACAAAGACATTAAAAACAGCAAAACAACACATTCATTGGTCCAGCAAAACGAGATCCGAGAAAGCCGGACTTCTCTGTGAGGGTTCATGACAACTTAATGCATGAAACAGGCCCAACCATTCATCATCTGCTGGATGCGACACGATGCGTTGCAAACTTGTAGGACTATATAGAATTCCTCGGCTAGAAAGCATCCAAAACAACATTGATCATCCAAAACAATATGGATCAGACCCTTTTTCATCTTGTAATTTGTTGGATTTGTTGGAAGTAGGGCATGAACAGAAGGGGTCACAGGGTCGTATTTATTTGATGTTTTGTTTATATACAGTAACAGAACCTTGTCATTGACCACACCCTAACCATCTCCCTCCGATCTCCCTTAGGCTCGTGAGCTGTCCCTGCTCCGTTGCTGGGCGTTGGCTTCAGTCTCGGGTGGCCTGGCCATGGCGCTGGGAGTTGGGGTTGAAGAGCAATCGGAATAATAGTACACACTTGCTACTAGTAGCTTCTTGCTACTAGTAACAATGCCCTTGTTACTAGCAGTAATGCCCATGCGACTAGTTGGCACTCTTGAAATGTATAATATACATTTATCAGGTGGGGTTCAAAGAATCAATCAGGAGGTCATGCCAACATAGGTGTTGGGTGATAGGTGTCACAATTATTCACGGCTTCGCCAAATGATCCTGCAGAAATGCTCTTCCTAACGGTCGCACCCTTATTGTCATCTGTTTTTTGACAACCAACTGGAACATAGCAGTCCAGCATGCTGAACTGTCGCAGAGTGCGGCCCGCGTGTAGGTGGTTTTGATGACATGACCCCGGAGAAGCTTTCGGTCAGGTGGGACAGCGTGGTGGCTGCTAAGTTGATGGCCCGAGGTCCATGACCAAAGGGTGAAACGGTTCTGGAGGTTTTTGTTTTCTTTGTTTGATCATGTTAACATTGGCTTTCTGGGTTTTGCAGTGCCTTTTGACACTGGTGTGCCAGCGGGGTCGCGATGATAGCTCATCAGCACTGTTCTTCCAGATTGCAATTGGCGGCGATTTTGAGAGCTGCAGCAAAGGGAAAGTGTTATGAACATTTATTATATATACGTTTTGTTGTTCCTTCCGACATTCTTTTGGAGGGTTGATCAGGCAGAACTTGGTCGGAGGCTCGGATTCTGTTAAATCCCTACTGTTCCAGCACGGCTTTTCTTCCGTTTGTTTGGTTTAAGACACTCAGAAACCCAAAACTTTGGCTGGTGACCCGAACCACTCCCACACAAACGACCGTCCCCAGCAATAGAACAACAGGCCGGACACTGTGTGGTTGAGGGTGGTTGAAGCGGTAGAGAGAGATTTGTTGCAATCCTCCGACAGCTGTGCTGGCCCCACTTGCGGAGCTTGTTTTCGGCTCCTGTCAGGCTTCAGAAAGTCAGGCAGAATCAGGACACGCCCAGGCGTGTTTCTGTTTCCATGTGAAATTGCCGTGTAACAGCAAGAAAGAAAGGGGCCTCCCCGCCTCCCAAATTTATGCTATGTGGATCTATGGGAACAGGCAGTTCGTTTGCTTTACCTCCTACAATGAATGGTTTGATCATTCCAGCTAACCCCGCGGGGTGCAAACAGTTCTTTTGACCTCATTTTTCAGTCACTGCCTGACCTTCGGTATAACTTCTATATATAATTGTTCTTGGGTTCTTGCCCTCCTTGTTCCCAACCTGTCAGGTGAGGGTTGTTAGATTTTATGTCAGCTGCCGTCGTCCTCTGCCTCCGTCGCCTCCTCCTCCTCCTCCTCCGCCGCCGCCGCTCCTCCGCCAGCTCCGGATGGCAGTGTTCCCCGCCGGACCTCAAAACGCCAGCTCCCGATCACACTGGGCGCTGCCGGACCTCAACCAACACACAACCACCAACACAAGCACAATCACACAGCCACAAGCACATAATCACAAACACACAGCCACATGCACAGCCACAGACACAAGGACATCAAAGACACATGCACAGCACACAGCCACAACACACAACCACAACACACAACCACAGCACACAACCACAGCACACAACACACAACCACAGCACACAACGCGAGGACCCACAAGCAAAATCGAGAACCACAAAGCCCACGACCATGGCATACCATGGCAACATGCTCCTCACCATGGCATGAAGACATACTGTATGATTGAAATCTCATGGTGGGATCCCTCGAAGTAAAGGAATTTGTCTTTCTATGCTTAGAGCATGTGCACCGGCCACACGCAGCTGCTTTATGGCTGGGGACTTCGGCCAGTAGAAGTCTCCTTAACCGATTACTCTTGTCCCGATCAATGCAGGGATGAGATGGCGGTTGAGACCAGCCAGGCCAAGTTCCCCGGCGCTTGATTTGCGTGGCCTACTGTTTCAAGTCTTCGACCTGCAGTATCGACTGGAAGGATCCGGAACTACGGCAAAAGTTTTGCAAAAAAAACGGCAACGGCACTTCTAGACCACCAAGACCAAGAAGGACCACTGGAGTTTTGAGGGTGTCCTGTGATGGAAATCATGTTTAGATGAAGCGTTGTCCTGATCATTCCTATGGAATTTGCTCTAATCCAATGTTTTGCAGATCTTCCGCATTTCCCCTTCCCCTGATCCCCCGATAACTACCTACTTAGTACAGTAGTTACTTAGCAAACACCAAACTCCAGTCGACATGACAAGAAACAAACTATTTCATAAGGTGCTTCGAACAAGCAAAACCATTCATTGCATGAGGTTGCGTAAGCAGACAAAAACAAGCAATGCCGACCTGCCCCAACCAACGCCCACATCGTGGAAACCCCACTTTTTTGTCCAAACCAAGAACCATTCTATGTTGCCATCGTGTTGGTTTTGTTCATCGACAAGTGGGTACAGCAGGGAATCCGCAAGGTTTGTGTTTCACAGCTGGACTCTGGACATTTGCCAGGTTCAAGAAGCGCAGTTCGGAGCTTAGCGATGAGACAAATCGTGTGAGCGCTAAGGTTTCTCTGCAAGCAGAAAGCTGCCTTCTGACAGCAGCCAGATGATGAAACCATGGTTGATATGCTGATACAGATTCTGTCTTCTTCTTTGAGCCTCACAATTAATTAGCGAGCCTTGCATTAGGAAGAGTCTCTTTCGAGCCGCTGGTGCCGGTGCAAAAGGCACATGGAAGTGCCTTGTTACTTTATTTTAAGACAAAATTAGGGATTGCATCACCGAATCACTCTTCCTACCACTATAGCCACAAGGTTCTGGAAGGTTTTTTTGTTGGGGCTGGTGGCTTAGGCCTGTCGAAGACATGGACGTGACCCTGAGGCAGGGGGAACCATGCATTGGCATGAGCGGATTTTGACGCCCGATTCGGGCAGGGCAGATTTCCGAATGATTACACTCTGACTCACTAACATGGAAGTGGAAAATGGTCCCTTGGAAGACTACTTTCCTTTATGAACAGGGGGCTTTCGACTTCCATGTTAGTGAGTCAGAGTGTAGTGAAAGGAAACACGCTATATAATTGCGACAACCTGTTGCAACAGAAATCGAAATCGCCTTGGGTGCATGCTGTATGCTGATTAAATACGCTGTATTTAGTTTCTTGTTTTCAAAGAATTGTCTCTGTCAAGAGAACTCGTCTCACATTGTGTGCACTGGATTTGCATCGGATCTGCCATAGCAGTCGACGGACAAATTAAATGGCAAAATACCATCTAGGATGGAGAATCCTCCCTGATTCTTGTCCCAATCACCGGCACCAACAGTTCTTGAACATTTAGTAGCCTTCCACTATCAATCAACACTCCCTGACCAATGTGGGGCGTCAGGGTTGGCCCCAGGGAGTCATAGACTTTGAAAGAAAGCCCCATGTCATGTGTTTGTCGGGAGTTTTGCCCTTTTTGATGGGCCTGTCATTTACTTTGGAGAAGACAAAGAGCGTGCACGTGATTTGCCTTACTGTAAATGTTGAGACCTGTTTGTACGGTGACACCAAGTGCTAATGAAGCCCCGATGTCTGCCAATTCTACTGGGCCGTCATCACCAAAACCTCAGTTCCTCCAGCCGGTTCTTGACCGCGCCATGAATGTAAACTATAAAAACAAATCACCAACAGTGCTTATTTACACTAATACAATATTACAACGTAATTAGTATTATATACAGTATATATAAGTATAAAATATTGAGTTTCACCCAAGTCTAGCAACCAAACCCATCAAGCGAGGGGTTCTTCGATTCAAGGAAGCTCAGGCGGGGGGAGCTTTTCTGAGCCTGAGCTCTTCTGTTTCCAAGCCTAGTCTTCCTTGCTACTACTAAGAGTTACTACTAGCTACTTACCCCTTGTTACATTAGCTAAGGACTTAAGCCCCCACAAAAAAGGAATAGACATGCCATCATATGCCTTCATTTATGTGTATTTGCTGTTTCTATCCTGTTCTCAATTCCTTGTTCCCATGTCACTATACTGGGTCCTTTACCAGAGGCGCGTGATGGAGGAGCTGGACGAGTTGCCTTCCCCGGCAGTCGGTATCAGCAAGGCCTAGCCACGAATGGTTTCGCTTGGTGGCAAAGCACTTTCGCACATTGTATACTTAATTGCTGGCACTTCCAGACAAGGACCTCAAGTGTGGGTGCCTTTTGTTCTGACACATGTCGACAACTGGGCGACAACTGGGCGGCCAGAATCCAATATTCAGACTCCAGTTGTACCTCAGTGACAGTGCCTTGATTCATCGCCAGGAATTCTCAGCACGCTTGAAGAGTATTTTTCCTTGGGAGACACCGTTTGGGGTCTCAGATCCCGTTGCTAGTAGGAAATAGGACGGTATGGGAAGGACACTGAGCATTTTTGGTGGAGGGTAAGAGGCAGTTGGGAAGATTGAATAGTGCAATCTTGGGTACTGTTAGGTTGGAGGCCATCGCTTTTAGACACAAACGCACAATGTGCATCCTGGTGTCCGTTGCTCAGGACACAGACAGAGACTCACGAGACGGCGGTGGGGACCCAAATGGATGGGGCGCCATTGCAGGTTCAAAGGTAGGAAGGTTTGGACCAGAACCCCACCAGGAATGTCCTCATGTTTTTTTCCCGAATGCGTAGCGAAGGGTTCTCGCTTATAGTTGGGGGTGTGGGGGTTGGAGCTGTGTTTGCATGGCTTGCG